GTTATAATTTTCATACAAAATTCATTATTTATACTAAGACCTCGAATTTTGTTTATATACATGGATTAGTCATATATATAATGCGTATCTATAGATTAGATTTGAAAAAAATATTAGTCGGCTTAAACTATAAAGAATTTGTTTTTTTATGAATATTCTTGTGACTTGACACATTTATTATTGTATGTTAAAATCGATTTACTTGTCATGATCAGTGGTGTAGTCCTAAAAATGTTTATGGGTATACGCCTATATAATGAATAGAGAATAACGTGGGGGGCTCTGCCCCCCACACCCCCCATTGCACTTTATATTTTCTACATACAATATTTCACATTATCAACAGTGATATAGTCGTAATTTGATCAATAGATAAGTTAAAAACCTAAATGAGGAAACGTGGGGAATTTCACCCCCACACTACTTTTCAAAGGCCTTAACTATAACATAGTTTTGGGGGACGGAATACAAATATTGTGATGTTTTAACTGTATATGTATTTTCTAATTATTACATAATGCAACTAAAACCCCTACCCTCCCAGTTGCTCCTTCCAACTTCCAAACTATTACTCGAATATTTTTACTGACACTTTTAAGTTCTTACATAAATTAAATTTCATAGTCATACAATCGATAAGTGTATTATTAGATACTGTTATATTTTTTATAAATAAACAATAAACTTTATGCAGTAATAAAATAATCTTACAATCATTGTTTTCAAATCGTTAAAACATAAATGAAATAAACGTGAATAGGTACATGTTAGTACTATCTTAATTCATTATAGGTAATATATTAAATACTAGATTGGTTGGTAAACGGTTTATTACGGAAAAATACAAATTACCAATTTCAACAGCTATAGGTTAACCCAATAACTTTCAGTTTCAACTATGTGCTATATCGTTAATTTTTGGTCGATATTTAAAATTTTGTCAAATGTCAATAAAATTGTCGTGAAATGATAAACATTATCCTATTTATTTTATTGATATTTATTTATACACTTTGACAGTGTTTTGTTTTACATTTATATTCTATTTTTAAAATGATAATAGTCTCGAGCCATATTTGTGTGTTTATAACTTCAGATATATGTTTATATGTGGTATGACTGTAGAGATTAAACAAACTGATAAGAATTATTCAAAATTTGTGTTTTATGACAAACGTACCTATATTCGATACCCACATATTACTTTTTATTTTATTCTTTAGTCTATACTCTTTAACTATTTTATAAATACGTATATGCACTAATAAGAAAACTAACAGTGGGTATACGCCGTATACCCGCGTATCACTCATGATTTTATAAGTATACGCAATAACAGAAAAACAAAGAAGTGGGTATACGCTGTATACCCTCGTATACGCTCCACGACACCTCTGGTCATGATAATTTATTTAACAGAAATTCGCTGTGTTTTAATTTAAGTTCTTATCGTGAGCTAATAGTTCAAATTTGTTTACCTTTTTATATTATACTGACTCAAGGAAACCCTGAATATTTAACCCAAAAATATATACAGCTATTTTAGCGAAGCAACCAATTTAAGCGGCATATTATTTTTTAGAATCTTTAAACTTTATCAATAGATTTTTTTGCCAAACATAATAATTTTCGTATCGTTTTCAAATAAAAACAAATCAAACATTATTCATGTTCAACCTTATAAATTTCCATATTGTATAAAGAAAAGGGATCATTGTAAATATAAACTTTAATTTAAACTGTTAGATATAGATTGATTTTTCTTTCACTCACCTGGAAAATATACATAATGTATAACATGCAAATAATATTCAAGTATCAACTGTATGCACAAATATAATATTAATGAAAAACGCGAATGCTGTTATTCTATCAATGTCCACCGAAGTAAAAACTACTATTATTATTATTATTCTGAAATATTTTATTTACACCGGGTACATTTTTTCATCTGCTCTTTAGTTTCAAAATTCTAACTTACAGAAGGTTTAGTAAAATACAACTCTGTCATGTTTTATTCATATCGACTTCCACGTTACTAATAATCAACAAAAACTTTCAGGGTCTTAAAGATTAATTAGATAGTTATAATGTTGATTCTATACATGAAAATCATTATCATTTTAGCTCTATATAAAAATTATACATAACTGTTGCGTTAACTGAATAAAAAGAAATGACATCGGTTTTTTTACTCAAGTTTTAAAAAACAATTAATTAGGTTCTAAGTCTGTCTTGTTTTTCTTCTTTACTAAATATTCTTGTTTTTTTATCGGTTATTTATTTTTCATCGCTCCTTCAGCTTCAAGGACCTAAGCCATTAGACATGTGTACTAGTCGTTACTATATATCATTCCTTTCGGAAGTTTTTGCAGTTATGCTTGAACGATTTACCGGTTTAATGTGCCTAACACTTAAACTACTACTACAAAAATACTTCACCAATCATTTTTACTGATTAATGTTTCTTTAAACCACCTTTCCTGATTAAAGCTCATTATTCATTGTTTAAAAATTTTCGTTTTATTATTATGTCAAAAAAAATTCAAAACATTGTTTAATTAAGTGACGTTGCAGTTTAGAGTGAAAAAGTATACTTAACTATGTTGATTACTACAAAAATTATTCATTAAAAAAAATTACATATCAGTCAAACAAATTATATACTTCTAGATTAAAAATTTCTACTTACAAATAATTATGAAATCATTGTATGCTCATAGAAATCTTTCGATGGTAAACGAATGATATACTCGTACTTTGAAGTAAATCAAATTAAAAACCTTTTTTTTAGGATAGAGAAAATAGTTAAACTTTAAAATATTATCAAACTCTTTTAAACTTCTTACCGATTCAATCTTTGTTTTTTTTTTTTTACAACTAATTTGGTTCTAAACAGATAAACATGAATTTTCATAGAACTTAAATGTATTCTAACTTTATATACAAGTCTAAACTACCTTAATTTGAATAAATTTAACATTTTAAAATCAAATATTTGTTAGCATTAACGTTTTTGTATTACGATATAACTATGGTAGGACGAAATTTTAAGATCTCATAAAGAATAGTTTTATTTTTTATAAGTTGTGATTAGTTTTATGAGTTTATTTTATACGGGTTTAAAACTAGTAGTGTAAAGAATCCCCATCAGAAATTAAAAAGTTTCACAAAGAATATGTAGGGAAAATCGCTAGACTTCTCGTTGTTACACAATGAACTAGTTTTTTTTTGTATTTTCTTTTGAAACTTTATAGAAAAGCATACAATCAAGATTAAGCCAAATAAATGTTCAAAATGTCTTGATCTTCTTTTACCAAGTTTTACATTTGATTAGAATTCATTTCAAATTGTAACTGTATTTTTTTTTTTAAATTTTCTATAAAAATAATGTATTTTTTTTAACTGCAACCCCCATTTCCCTTTTATTTTATTCAAGTTCTATTAGTCAAGTAGAAGTTAAGATTTCCTATGCATAGACATGAAAAAAAGAAATATAAAAATATATCAATATAAAACAGGTTCATTTGGGAAGGTGTCTCAAATAGATGTGTGTATTTTTCTTTTCGAGCTAAGCTGAAGCTGTGGAGTTTGAATTCCTTTGACATCTTTGTTACAATATGTATCTTTTTGAAATGGTATAAAACTATTTTTCCATAAGATACATTAATGTTTAAACATCACTAATGTACATATACATAAAAATATTCATTATAAATGATTGAAGAGTATGCATATTTTGTTAATATACCAAAAACATTCTCAGAGGAAAATACATCAACATTGCAATTAATACAAGGTGATTCATTTATCAAAAACCACTCAATTACTTGCAAAATAATATATTGGAAAAATATTTTGCCTTTTTTTAGCCACATATATATTACGATTTATCAGGTATTAATTACTTTTTAACGTCATCTTTATAACTTATAAGGGTGTCAGCTTTATTTTTTTATGAAAACATACTTATAAAATAAGAAATAATCTAATTAAGGAAATGACCTTTTTATAAAAACTTTTTGACCAAATTTAGAAAGTTATATTGATAATAAAATATTGACTATTTGTGAGGTGTGAGTATGAACATTTAATAAATATAAATAGTATTTATATATATATATCTAATACTTATTTAGTAATGTCTAATGTGATATTTTATTAGACATTTCTCGGGCACGTCTCTCTTCCCGGTTAGGTATAAAAATATTAGTAACTTTCGAAGTACTGATCCAAAAGTTGTTATAGACTCGTCATTTTCTTAATTAGATAATTTCCTATTTTATAAGCATTTTAAATATGTATGTTGTTATTTAAAAATAATGAAATTGACACCCTTATAAGCTATAAAATATGATGTTAAAAAGTAATTAATAACTGATATATTATAAAATATATATATAATTAGAAAAAAAAACAAACAATTATTTTTCAATATTGTATTTATTTTACGAGTATCTAAGTGATTTATAATAAACTCTACAAATAATATCTTTAAATTAAGCCAAAAAATGTTAAAATAAAAAATTGTATGGATTAACTTATTTATAGTAAACATAAAGTTAAATTCAATAATATATAAAATATGAATGTCTAACTGGTTCGATGAAATTAAAACTTTTATTACAAAGTAAGTAATTAATAATTTTTATTAAAAAATAAGCAATTAAATTTGTAAAATTTAACGGAAAGAAATTATCTCAGTGTTTAATTTTTCTATAATCTAGTTTCACTTAGATTAATAAATAATAATAAAAAACTATTATAGCATAATCTACTATTTAATTTATACACTAATTGCTTTACATACAGTTTTTATTTGTATTCGTTATTAAACATATAACTGTATTCTTATTTATTAAACTACAAATGAATATTTTCATATACTACATATTTGTTTATATCTAATAAAAACATGTTTAAATAGTAAAAATATTTACATATAATTTTATAATGAATAATTTAATTAATTAGTTAATTAGATTCTTTTTTTTTTGCAGTTATAATGTGTCTTTCATGATTATCACATATTTTGTGCCAATTGGTTTAATGGGTTTCACATACGCGATGATTGGTCATGAGTTGTGGGGAAGTCAAAGCATAGGCGAGTGCACGCAAAGACAGTTGGAACATATCAAATCTAAACGAAGGGTAAGAAAAATTTGCAAATTATTCACAAGATATTACTAAAAATAAGAATATACTGAAAAGCATAGCTCAGTTAAACGATATTAATTAAACACAACATTAATTAAACAAAACATTTTAATTTTCTCTTTCTCTAATTCTTTTGTATTTGTTTATGTAAAGGAATAAAAAATTATAATTACAATTTAACAGTTGATATTTAATAAGACAAGTATGTCAATGTTGAATTGTTTTTTTAACTGCACAAAAAATCTCGATTATTTCATAAACTCATTATTTGGCATTACTTTAATTATCGAAAATATTATTTAGAAGATAAATTACTTATAGTGAAAGTGTAATCATAATTTAATTACGTCTGTACAATTTAGGTTTCTTTGCTATTTTAAGTCATAAATTATAGACTCATTAATCTCAATTTGAAATATTATTATTCTCTTGTATAAAAAATATATAGCTGAAAATATGATTTTCAAAATTCATTAGTGTGTCTACATGTTTTAGCGGAATTTATTGGTTATTATTAAGACGTGTAATCACATGTTATGATTACCTATAGTGTATATATGTTTCTCAAGCATATTAATTTTTTAAACTTTTTCAACGTTTAATCATTCTAGCTGTCAAGTAAACTTCAGCTTATTACACAAATACGTATATTTAAATATGTTTATTTTCTTTTTTCAAAAGAGCCGGCGTTGTTAAAAGAATATTTACTTTTCTGCGCTTTACTGTTATTATTAATGTATTCAACTATATATCGTTTTATATTTTAGTTTGAATAGGACATATTAATAATAGAACTGATAGGACATATTCAATAAAATATAAAATTACGGCTGTCAATATTATATTATTCTTATTAAATTTATATAAAATTAAAATGTTTGTATGCCGTCAGCACACTAAGAAACCAAGAAACCATACATCCAGACACATACACAGCATCTTAAAACATATAGACAAAAACGATATCAAGCTAATAATAAAGCAGAACCTTACATAGAAGCTCCATGCAGCATAAAATTTAACATGATCATAGAGCTATCCAATCTAAAAAAGTACAACTAACGCCACAATTTACAAAAATTACCTCAAAGATATACTTAAAAGACATAACTATAAAAACCTCTTTTGCACTGTTGCATCGAAAACGGACGGTAAAATAGGATTACCTATATTTCACGATAACCTGGTAATAAAAAACATAGCACCAATAGAAATGACCATTTACAAAGCATAGACATAAACACTTCTTAAAGCCATTATAGAATATTTTAAACGGAAATAATCAAAACGATGAAATTAACGTAATTTTCATATATTCGCTAATCACACTCAAAAACTTACAAAACCCATAAAAAAACACGGATATAAACAGATTAATAATAAAAAATTTGAACAGAACATATACCAAACCTGCGAAGATGAGTTAACAGTTTAACACATTCTGACCAAGAAAGTACAGAGATGTGAGTGAGAAGCTTGAAATATGCAACCATTTGAACACAATCTTCGGTTTACAATAAATTTCAACGAAAAAATTTTACATCCTAATGAAGTTCTTAAAAGAAATAAATTTAGTTAAAAAAAACAAAAATTGTTATTTTTATAGAAAATTATGGTAAAATAATATGTAAATTTATAATTTAATAAAAGAAAACAAAATAGCAAAATTTTATATCAAAAATATTTATGTACTCCCAGATTAAAGAATTGGTTTTTCTTATTTTTAATTATTTAATCAATAGTGGATTTACGGGGGTGTAGTGACTAGACCACACAAATACCAATATTTAAACATGATACAAAATGCATGGTAGGATTCTGATACAAATTTTAATTTTGCATTGTTATAATTAAAACCCCTCTCAGAAAAATTCCTCATTGTGTACTAAATTAAAATTTTACACAGAAATAAAATAACATATTGAGCAATAATTGCTTGTAAAATGATTATCTTATATTTTAATGACCCACTCAAAATCGTAAAATTATTAAAAACATTATTGAACAAATTAACTATAATTTTACACTTTTATTGATAGTAAACTCAGATATAAAATATTGTGCAAGCTTACAAAAACATAAAAATAATTTTTTTATTTGCATCAACGAGGCAATATAGCTTTTCAATTTGTACCTAAATATAGTATTTATGTAACTAATAATAATAATCAAATTATACAATTCAAATATTGTATTGATCGTCTCATTTTAATACTGTAAATTTTATATTTTTAAAACAACTTATATTTCTTGTCATGTTATATTCTGAAATATTAACATGATTTTAAAAAATGGTACGTATCTTCTAGCTCATTAATTTTTAATGTTACAACACAATGTTTTTGTTAAATTATAAGACGTTGTGACTTTAGTAAACGAATGTTTTTTTTAATATAACGCTTAGTAGCTTTTTGAAAGTACAAGATATACAGTGTTGTCTACCTTTTACTTGATTTATATTTGTGATTTTTCATTCGATTTGCCGGTTTGTTTTTACGCTGAGGTCTTCTTATTTATTTTCTTCCGTCACATAATTTTACTCGTTTGTAAAAATTAAAATTTACAGTTTTTTTTTTTGAGTTCTAAAAAATATTTTCATATTTATTATGTAATTCAAAATTAAATGAATGGATTATTTTTTTGTTATTATTGCCCTATATAATATATATATATATATATGTTTAAAGAGACAAAATAAAAAAAACATTTAAATGAAATTAATACCATGTAACTTCGAATCGAAACTAATATTTGATCGTAGTCAATGAGAATGATAATGAAGTAAATAAAAAAGTTTATTTAAACTAATTATGGTTTTGGTTATGGTAAATTACCAATTAATATTTGGTCATTATTATATATCATGTTTATATTTTCATATCATATTATATTTCAAGTTGTCAGTTTGAAATATTTTGAATACAAAATTTACAATTATTGTAAAGCTTATTTACAGTAAGATATTCATAATAACATTAAATGACAGTAAATTTTTCAAACATAATGAATAGTAAAATTACCTTAAAACAATATAATATTTTCAATATAACATAAACTTTATATCTAAAATTAAAAATTATAATGTGTGTTTTTGTTAGTAAATTTAATGTATTAACACATTTATACTCGATCATTTGTTATAACCTTTATTATTTTAACAAAGAATGGACATTCTTTGTTTATGACTGAAAATAACTTGGTCAACAACCAATTTTTTATTCCGAATATTTTTATGGTATATAAATTTAATTATTTTTAATATATTTAAATTTTAATTAATATTTTCGATTAATTTTTTAAAATTGTTTAAATAATATTAGCTTCAAATTCATTAATTTTTATTATAAGCTTTTAGGTTGTTTTAGAAGTAAAAAATTTATCAAATAAAACCTTAAAAAACACTATTATACCAATTCTAATATAAAATTATTTCGAATATCCTTAGTCGAATCAAACCATAATTTAATATTTTTTTCTCGGTCTTGAGCCTTGCTAAACATAAATAATTAGGTCTAATCTGAAATAAACCGAATAAAAAAGAAGAAACATAAGTTACGTACATTTGAGATTTAGTAGAGTTGAAGCATATTTTAGATTAGTACTGTTTGTTATCTGACAAATGAATGTTGAAGGAAGAAGAGGTAGAGGATGACCAAAAAAGAGATGAAGAGATGTTATTGAATGCGATATGAGGACAGCTGATGTGAGCATAGAGGATGTGGTAGATCGTGTCATGTAGAAGTTTAGGATAAGCGTCGCCGACTCCAAGTAGTTAGGATTAAGGCGAAGAAGAAGAAGACTGTTTGATATCTGACAGTAATTAAAATATAATAATATAGTTTTATTGCCAAAACTTTTTAGACATTAATAGATTACAAAATAGAAATATTAAAGAATGTTACATGTACTTGTCATTTTTTTCTTATCGAAAAAAGTAGTATTTCTTTTTTTTTTTTTTTTTACAGAGATCTTCAATTACGTTTTATAGTAGAAATACTAACCGAATGATCACTAAATACTTTTCATTGTTACAAGTCAACAACATGTATGCTAATTAAATAATGAATGCATTTCCAATTTTTTTTTATAATTACATTTTTGTTAGAGAATTTCACCTTTTAAAAGTATAAAATTCTACCTACGACAAGTGTAACATGTTTCATTTAATTGCTTTTTATACTGTTCTGCATAGAAACTAAAAAACAAAAAAAGGATAAGCTGTCGTTTAACGGTAAAAATATTTTGTCAAACTTTATCAATTAGCATAATCAAAATGTTATTATTAAACGTACGTATTTCTTATTCAAAAATGTTGATGGTCGATTACTTGTGCAATGTTAAACTTTCAAAACCACACCGAGAAAATTAATGGCGAGGAACAATGAATTTTCACTATGATTTTGTACCAATTAGGCATCGGACCGGATACAGATAAGAACTATCATCCTTGACCTGAATTTGAAGTCGCGATGAACGTTATATTACTTTGAACAATAAAAACAAGAACCAATAATCAAGTAAAGCTTAACTTAAATAAAATTATTTGTCTATGTGTTTTACTGTTCAAAAACTCTTATTGCATTTTGTCCATTTGGTGGTCCTATATGTCATATTACTTTATTTATTAACAAGAAATGTAGCAATCTGTTAAAACAAAAAAAAAAAAACTAATAGTAACAATGACACATAAATAGTTTTTATGACACATATAAAACATATGAAGAGGATCATTGGCTTGTAAAAGAATTTAAAAATTTATTGAATTTAACATCTACACTTTAAAGTATGTTTCTTGATTATTTTCTTTTTTGACAGCGAAGTGTTTTTAGAAAATAAGTTAGTAAACCTTAAATTTATGAGAGAAGTTTGGTATATTAATTAAAAATTTATTTATTTTAATAAAAAATGAAGTCTTTGTGATTCTGGATGATAAAATTATGAATATTTTTAACGTAGTGTCAAGTGACGTTTAGCAATGCATAATTGCAACAATATACATGACATAATAAGAAGTTGGTTTAAAAAAAAGAGGAAGCCTTTGCCTAATAACTGTAACTTCAACAAAGTTTAGTTATGACGTAAGTTTTAAAGAAAAGTCTTAAATAAATAACTGATAAACTTTAGAAAAGCAAATAACCGAACGACATTTTTTTTTGATTTATTGTAAGTGCAATAATAAAATTATTTATCAAAGTTATATTGAAAATGGTTAATAATACTTTCGAACTAAAAAAAATATTTCCTATATAATGAAAACAATATTAGATAACACATATTTGTATATTCACCATATTTATTGAAAATTGATTTCAATAAGAATAAATCGCAACTCGATTATTTTTAATAGAACTTATGATAGGTAATTAAATATTTTTTCAAATTTTAACTAAACTGCGAAGTTTAGTTTAGCGATTAGTGTTAAATTATATATTAAGCCTAGTTTTCAATACTATCTTAAATTTACTTAAACAAATGAAAATTTTAGCAATGTAACAAATTTTGTCAGAGAAAATGAACTATTAAAAAAACTGAAATACAATGATTTAATTGTTAAGCCATTATAAATCAACCATCTCGTTTTAATTATAGATAAAAATTTACTATTATTCAATTATTTTTAATAATTGTCGATTTTGCAAATTTTGACATTATTAGTTACAAACTTCATTGTATTATTTATATATAATTATTGGTTACTCTCAACTTATTTATAGTCTTGAAATGTAGAATAATAATAACTATGTAAAGAAAATAATTTTTGGTATATTTTTAATTTTATGTATTTCTTGATTTATCAACTATTAAATTTTTTTATTTCATCCTTTATACCATATAAGTTTATCAATCAATTTTTTTTAAAGGTAACATACATAATATTAGCTAGTTGATATTATTAACTAATCTATAATATGAAAAATGATATAATGAACAAAATATCTGGTCGATATCAACTTTTGGACCATTATTTCAAAAGTTATTACCATTATAAAATATTGACAGGAGGTGAAGTGAGACTGTGACAATATTTATCAATAGAAATTTCTTGACCACATTTCTTCTCTAAATGTAAACCAACTTGAATAAGTTATTTTTTTTATAAAAAAAACTTTCTGTATTTACTTAATTACTATGTAATTATTATATTTAAAATTAAAACTATATTAAAAATATCAGCCACAAGTGATCAATTTTATTATATAAATTTAATATAAAAAGTATTCTATATTTTAGCATATTAATAAGATTTTAAATCTGAGAATGTCCTTCAATTAAAATAAAAGAGCTCTACTATTTGAATTTAAAATTATTTATTTATTATTTAGGTAGTCAAAATGATGATTGTCGTTGTCACAATTTTTGCAATATGTTGGTTACCATATCATATATATTTTATTGTCACATCTCATATGCCGGAGTTGGTTAAGAAACCTTACATTCAAGACGTTTTTTTGGCATTTTACTGGCTTGCTATGTCCAATTCTATGCACAATCCAATCGTGTACTGTTGGATGAACTCCAGGTAAATATATAGTTAAGCTATTAAAAGTTTAATTTAATTTTTATTTAAAAAAAAAATATTGATTTTTATAGTCTTGTAAATTTTTAAGCTTAAAAATAAAAACATGGCGCAATTTTGTGATTGATTACTTCACATTCTAGCTAAAAAGTTATTATTATTCATCGAAAGTTTTTTTCCTGTCTTTATTATTGTTCCTATTTATCATGTGTAACTATTAGTCATGTGCAAATTCCTCAAAAATAATTACAGGAATTTCCTGGGAAAAATTCCCAGGAATATTTCCAAAATCGGTAATATGTCATTAATATTATCATTTTTTTAAATTTTGTTTTAAGTTTATGATATTTATATAAACTTACCATTTTCATTATAATAAAGCTGAAACACTGAAAATTACTATAGATAATAGTCCAATTAATTCCAAAATACTTGTAACAAAATTTAAGTTTTAAGGTTATTTGCTTACGCATGATCCTAAAGAACATAAAAAATACCTATAGTTTGGAATTTCATAATTCTGAATAATACTGTTTTAATATTATTATTTTTAATAATATTTAAATATCAGTTTTTAAAATACCTTTTTTATTTTATTTTGCAAACCTTTCTTTTTTTAAATCTTTAATACCTTTAAAAATACCTAAAATTATTAGATTAGTTAAATAAAAAGACTTCGATTTCTGAGGTAAAATGATTTTAGAGTAGAAATACCGGAGAATTAAATTTCAAGGTACATATACCTTTAAATTTATTATATTCATCAATGACATTTATTTGTTTATTATGGAACTTCCAGTTGATTATTTAACAAATATAATATTAATTAAATAAATAAATCATTGTAGTTGCCAAAGGTGACGAATAATACCCAGCACCATTGTTAAAATGAAGAACAAAACAAAACCCAGCACAGTGGAGACGCGGCATAGTGGGGACATTGCATAGTTGGGTCCAGTATAGATTTAATCTGACAGTGATTAAAATCACTATCATAAGAAACGCTTCGATGCAAATCAGTAGATAGTGTTTAATTCTAAGAAATTGGTGGATAATTACAAAAGCTACATTATCTGCTAGTTCCTTATTAATACCCTGATTAAGATAAAGTATGTCGAATGAAAAAGGGATTATTAAAAAATATTATTTCTCATAAAAAAATTGTGTTGATTCGTACACTTTTCAATGAGTTATAGCATTATAAAGTTAAAAATGTAACCAACCCAACCCAACATCAACTCCTATTTCCTTAATTATATCCAGATTAGTAATTATTTTAATTATATATTATATAATTTTTATAATTAATTATTTTCAAATTATTATTGATTTTTAATATGTTAAAAGTAATCATTTTGAACCTACTTCTTTTTGTTCTTTAAAGTGAAAGTTTTAATAAAAAAAAAATGAATTTATTACCATAACTTTTAACTCAACTTGCAAGTTTGAAATAAATATTATTAAATAGAAAAAAATGAAATTGGTAGATTATTTCAAAAACAACAATAACACTTATTCCCTTAATTTTACCCCGATTTATAACTATAATATATGAATACATAATAATTACAGTAATTAAATTGAGTATGAAAGTGGTATTCAATAATATAATATTGTAATTTTTACGGAGATATTATAAAAATAAAAAGGAGTTGTATATTCATATACTTTTAATGCGTATACAAATTTAAAGGAATTTATGCAATACTTTTTAATAAAAAAATTTTGTTACTTATGAATAAATACACTAAACAAAAGGAACTTTCATCAGAAAAAAAATATACTTTTCTAAATAAACTTTTCGTGATGTTTTCAAATGTGCAATTAAACTTTTTCTATTACTTCTAAGTTTTAATATTATTACTTATTATTAAAAAATAAGTATTTACATATAAAAAAAAATAATTAAGAACAAAAAAAATTGTATTAAATTAATACTGATTTTGATTTTTAATATGTTAAAGGTAATCATTTTGAACCTATTTTTTATTGTCTTTTAAAGTGAAAGTTTTAATGAAAAATACCTTCTCAGCTTCGCATCGAAGCTAAAAAATGAATTTGTTACCATAACTTATAGTTCAACTTGCAAGTTTGAAATTGACATTATTAAATTGAAAAAAATGAAATTTTTAAGATTAATATGCAATCTGGAAATTTTATAATTACTAATTACAGTACATTTGTCAGAAAAATTCGATTTTTTTACATTTTTATCGTAATAGATAACTGAAATAGAAAGAATAGTAATCATATCCTAATAACTTTTGGTGTTTAAAAAAATTCTGCAATTGAAATATTCAGAACTTAATTAATTTTAATAATTTACTTTAATTAAATGAACCAATCAAACCAAAGTAGTTAAAAAGATTTACTCAATTGAGCATATTATCAAAAATATAATTATAATTGTAAAACTCCATCGTTAACTTCAGGTGAAACTAAAAATCATTTTTTTTTTAAATTTATGATTTATATAGCAACATATTACTAAAAAATTTGGCATATTATAGACTGGTAGTAGCACACAGAAATAGAGTTAAAAAATTAATAAATTATAAAGTAAAATTATTTACTTTTGTAGTTGAATACTTTTATCATATCAAATTTAATTCGACAATAAATAATTTAAGAATATTAAAAATTAATGATTTTAATTGTTTGTATGGACAAATCTAGTTAAGCTACTTTTTATTTGAATAAGGAATATTTTTTTGATTTTTAAGAGTAATAACTTAAACTAATCATTAACTTAAATATCATAAACTTAAATGAATCATTTGACGTATCGTTGAAAAAAGTAGGTCTAGTGAGGGTTGGCAAAATAAATCGTAGCCAGAAAAAGAACCACATAGTAAAATAATATTAACATGAATATCAATTTCTTCTCACGAGGGGAGACTATAGTGATAAGATCCTTTATATTTATTGAAATTATTGAATCTAAATGAGATAAATATCAAATGATTTGAAAATTCTATTCTAACTCAAAAAAAAAATGCAAAATTTTAGAAGCCACAAACGGATTTGAACCTCGTACCCTAGGCGTTAAAGATCAAGGTGTTACCCATTCGGCAACTATTCGTTGATTTTTGTTGCATGATAAAATTGGCTATTTAAGCTAACTCAAATTTAAAAATTACTTTTTCGACTTTAAAAAAGTAAAAAATGTTAATAAGTATAATATCATATGTCTTATGAACTTTATTCTATGTCAATGAAATTATATAATATTCATGAAAGTCAGTTTATTCCCCTAATAAAATATTTTAAAATAAAATAAAATACAAAACCTAGAATTTTAATAAAAAATAGCATATTTTTAAATACGGTAGCCTTTTGCGCATAGAAGATAGGTCGTCGGGACAAATTTTTTTTTTTCATTTAGTAGTACATAAAATAAGCTTTAATTTGATATATGTTTAAAGGACGCAGTATTTCCGGAACATTTTCAAAAATTAAGTTGAAAAAGTTAGTTTTTGTAAAAAAGTTGCTATTTTAAATCCCCCCTGTGAGCAGAATAAGTGTTAGATTTTCAAAAAAAAATGATATCAAATGAAAGAAAATTACCTAAGGTTTCAATATAAAGAAATATTATTTTGATTAGTTAATATTTGAAAAAGTTATGGCAGTTTTAAGTACAAAAAACATCGTTATAAAAGGTGATTTTTATCGCAAATATTACATTTTTTTTATAATTTCGACAGCCATTTGCACATAGAAGATAAGGTGTCGGGACAAATTTTTTTTTTTCATTTTATAGTACATAAAAAAAGCTTTAATTTGATATATGTTTAAAGGACGCAGTATTTCCGGAACATTTTCAAAAGTTCAGTTGAAAAAGTTCTATTTTTTATACAATGTTTCAAAGTTTGAACCCCCCCTATATAAGGGGAAATTGTCTAATTTTAATAAAAAGTATGTCAAATGGAAGATGTACTTATAATGTATTTAGAAAAAAAAAAATTGTGCTGATACATGCATTTTTCGAAAAGTTATAGCATTTTTAAGTTGAAAATTAAAAATTGAAAATCGAAAATTTTAACACAAAAATAGTGTTTTTTTAACTACGGCAACCGTTTACATGCAGAAGATAAAGTGTCGGGACAAATTTTTTTTTTTCATTTTATAGTACATAAAATAAGCTTTAATTTGATATATGTTTAAAGGACGCAGTATTTCCGGAACATTTTCAAAAATTAAGTTGAAAAAGTTAGTTTTTGTAAAAAAGTTGCAATTTTAAATCCCCCCCCATGAGCAGGTTAAGTGTTAAATTTTCAAAAAAATTATATCAAATGAAAGGAAAATATCTAAGGTTTTAGTTTAAAAAAAAATTATGTTGATTTGTTGATTTTTGAAAAAGTTATGGAAGTTTTAAGGAAAAAAAGTGAAAAAAATGACAAAATTTGTCGATTTTTAAATTTGTAATTTTTTTGGATATTTCCCCCATTTGCGGGGAACGAGGGAAAATTTTTAAATTTTTAAGGGTAATGTCTTCAACTAGATACAATTTGTGATCTTTTGACGTATTGTTAAAAGAAATCGGTCCAGTGAGAGCTGAGAAAAAGTAGTGACAGACACAAAAAAAAATAAATAAAAATAAAAAAAAAAATAAACACATCATGGTAAAATTAATACCTTCTCAGCTTCGCATCGAAGCTAAAAAAATATGAAATTTTGTAGATTTGATTACTATTGTCACCTTCATTATGAAATTATAGTTACGGAACTGAAATAAATAATTTATTATTTTATTTTAATTAATAATTTACTTATATAAAGAATAAACATGTTATTATTTATATTTATTAAGTAATCTGTTTAAAAATTATAATCAGTATATTTAAAGATGTAATAGATAGATAGTAATAGTATCGAAAAATATTTTATCACAGTATCCAAAATTTTTATCATAACAGTTCTACAAAATCTTAATAGTTATAAACTACTACTACTAAAAAACCATATAAATAAACGAAGTTTAAATTTTCTAATTCGAAAACGAT